TATCTGGTCTTGCCACATTATAAAGGTCTTCCCTAACAGTCCTTAACTACGTCCTCCCTTTCCCAGCCATAGTATTTTTCACTGCACTTGAATCTTCTTAAGCTGCTTATCACAATTTATGTTATGCCATTATTTGTTCAAACACCATATAAATTCTGGAACCAATTGGAGGCTCTATGGAATTTAAATAGCCTAAAATAATGTTTTCAGTGTCAGCCCTTTAGAAGAAAAAGGAACCAGAATCTCTTGAGCCACAATTCCCAGCAGCTCCCAGTTTCAGATTTATTTTTCTCTTTTCTTTAATTTCCCCCAGTCCTTAGGTGGATCTGTTTAGTCTTTTTCCTTCATAAATCTTGCCCCTGGAGGCTCTTCAGATGTTTTTTGGGTCCTGTCTTGTTTTTCATCGCAAACATCTGGAACTGGTCTGACATACTTTTTCTCCAGGGGACAGGGGAGAAGTTGAAAGGCAAAGTTTCACTGATCATTTTTCTTTATTATGTTTGAGCCACAGATTATAAATTTGATGACTGGAGTCATATCTGGTAAATATATAGTTAATTAGCAATTGCTTTCTAGTGTGTGTGTGGGGGGGGGAAGGAGTCCAGCAACAGAATATGGAAGAATGGAGCAGAGCAAGATCTTTTGGTTTAGTAATAGGTGGAAGTTTGGAATGCAGAATGAGAGCTAGTTTGGGAAGGCATTCCAGAGGACGTAAGGCCCAGGCACTGTGTTAAAGGGCAGAAATTCATCAGGCAAAGTAGGTGAGAGTATTCTAGGTAGGCATGTGCACATGATTAGAGAAATGTTACAGCTTGTAGCAATACTAAACTCAGAACATATGGCACATATTAAGGCAGGAGAGCAGAGATGGGTGGTAGAGCCACAGGGTGGCTAAGGGAGGCCCACTCAAATTTGTTAGATCACCAATTACAGCACGGAGGAAGGATTTGAAAGAGTAAAACTAAAACAGAACAGTTGTAAGATATAAATATATATATATGTATATAGGATATATATAGGATACACTATATATATGTGCATAACATAATGCCAGAAGTATACAATAGGGTAGTGAGAATTGTTTAAAGAAAAATTGGCGGGAAGTGGCACTGTAGCTCAAGTGGTAGAGTGCTCGTCTTGAGCTGAGGGACAGCGCCCAGGCCCAGAGTTCAAGCCCCACAACCACCAAAAAAAAAAGAAAAAGAAAAATTGGCGATCAAATTGGAAATCAGTTTTAGGGTATTTTTGGAGGTCAAATTAGGTGATGCGATAAGGAAGGTACAGGAGGAATTTCGAACATAGGGTGATATCATCACCTGAGGTAGAAGACATTGGAGATATAATGGGTTTTCAGTGATGGGGAGAGAGAGAAGATTTCCCTTTTGGTGATGTGGACTTGGAAGTACTGTGTGACCAAGTCTAGATGTGCAGCAGGTGCTTAAATATAGGTGTCTGCTGCCTAAGGCACAGGCCAGGGTAGGAGCTGCATTCTCAGCAGTAGGGGGTCTACGGAGGTCAAGAATAGGGTATGCTGGGGGTAACTGCTGTTCCTAGGGTTGATAGTTTTCGCTTCCTACCTCCCTTGGTACTCTTCTCTTACCTCTGATCATTCCTTCTCCAGATGTTCTGTGGGCTCCTCTTTCTCCTCCTATAAAATATATTTTCCCCCAATAACTTCACTATTCTTGTACATCCTGCTAATCTTTATCTCGACCAGCTTGAGGATGGTCACTCCTGCCTGGCACCCTAACTACTTAGTAAGCTTAGACTGAGAAGATTTCAGTTCTAAGCCAGGCTGGACAACAAAAGTTTACCATACCCCATACCTCAACAGAAAAGGTGGGTGGGTGTATATTTTATATATGTCATTCTAGCTATGGCAAGAAGTATAAATTTGCATTCCAGGCACAAAAGTCAGATCTAGCTCAAAAATAACCAGAGCAAAAGGAGCTGTAGGCAAGGCTCAAGCAACAGATGGCCTACCTAGCAAGTACAACCAAAAAAAACAAAAAAGGATCAAGACCAGTGTCTCCAACTACTTTGGTAGAGAAAAGAGGTTCAGTGGTATGCAGTGATTGTCCAGGGACATGGAAAGGTTATACTTTGCTCCTTGTTTACTTATATTCAGACTGGCACTGTAAGTAGAATATCTGTGACTATGTCTTCTCTGAAAACCTCAAATTTATAGATCAAGGGTCAGAATTCACATTAATATGCATCTCCACAACCCTGCACTTTAATCCATACTTTTCTCAAGGATATTCTTTGTTTTATGCCACTGTATCAAGAGCCAACATTAGATCAAAATGGAGATAAAAATTTAAATCTTAGTGATACAGATTTAAAAAAACTCATAATAGTTTTGTTGATCCAAGGGGATTTTTTCATTTGTTTGTTTTCTGGTACTAGGGCTTGAATTGTCTTTGTTCTCTTGCTCCATTGCTTTTTTTTTGGGGGGGGAGGGTCCAGTCATGGGGCCTGAACTCTGAACTTGGGCGCTGTCCCTCAGCTCTTCAGCTCAAGGCTAGCACTCTACCACTTGAGCCACAGCACCACTTCCAGCTTTTTTTCTTTTTGCTTATGTGGTACTGAGGAATTGATCCCAGGGCCTCATGCATGCAAGGCAAGCGCTCTACCACTGAGCCATCTTCCCAGCCCCTCTTGCTCCATTTCTTTTCTGCTCACAGCTTGCACGCTTACTGCTTGAGTCACAACTCCGCTTCCAGCTTTTTGCTGGTTGGAGCGGGACTTTTCTGCCCAGACTGGCTCTGAACCTCAATTCTCAGATCTCAGCCTCCTGATTAGTTAGGATTATAGGTGTGAACCACTAGTATACAGCAGCTCCAATTTTTTTAAAAAAAGGCTTTATTTTGTAAAAATTAAGTTTTTAGTTTTCTGTGATCATTTAATCACTAGTGATGTAAACGCTCTAAACTTCTAAGCAAACCACATCATGACATACTTTATATGCACTGAAGTGGGTTAAAATGCAAAATCAGCATTTTGACACTAACTTGAAAATGTGTTTTTTACAATTGCCTAAAATTAATTATTCATACAATTTGATCTGCTCTGGAAGATACAAAAAGTAACCTTGGACATGATTATAGACAGTACAAACAAATGTGTAGAATCTAGCCTTCTGGGCTAGAGCAATATGTACTAAGTTTCAGGTGATGCATTGATCTATCAACTGTACCAGAATTCACCAGTAGCCATAGTATAGTTCTTTAGTATATTTAAATTCTGTTCCCATTTCTTTGAACTTAATCCTTTGGATGATTAATGTAATACGTATAAACCTTTGGCATCTTGAAAATTCCAGAAGAGATAGAGTTCCTGTCATTTCTGAAGCTGGTCGAGCAAGTTTCATTTCTGCAATAGGGTTAACTGTTCAGAAATTGTTAGATGCCTGTTTATCACCTAAGTGAGCTGTTCCATAGTGGCCCTTGGTCAAAGCTTGTCCTTGAAAGCTCAAAAGGGCCAACCCACACGTGCTTATGGAAAATGGTATAATGATGCCTTTCCAACCAGGGAAATTTGTTTAAACTCAGGCTTATCAGGAAAGTTAAGGACTCATCTTGATTTGTATATATACTCTGAGACCAGACAGATCATAAGAACATTATGTTTCTGTTCTTCACAAAATACTCAGGACTCCATCCGTCAAGAAACATCTCAGGTTTATGACAATTTTCATGTCAGTTGTAAATTCAAAAGGTTTCTCAAAAGAATAGTTGCCGTTTTGTTTTTGAGGTGTCAAGGACCAAACTCAGGGCCTGTACTTGCCAGGCAAGCACTCTTCCACTGAGCTAAATCCCCAATCCCTCCCCAAAACAGGAGATACCGTGTTTAGTAGTCAGCTTTGGATTGGAGCACTTCTATCACCTGTAGAAAATGCTTTTCCCCCTAGTTTTTAGCTTCTTTTTATCCATTTATAGCATTTTCTTTATGGTATAATACATTCTGTAATACATTTTCTCCCAGCAATTCACAATTATTATAAAATGCTTTCACATGATTTGTATATACACATACATACACATACACACACTTATCTATTTTGTTGACTTATTAAAGGACTTGTCCATTTTTGACCTATGACAGTTTTCACACAGTTGAACCTATCAAAATATGAGTTTCAGATTTTATTTCCTGGCTCTATTTCTTTAAATATATACTATCCAGTACTTTCTACTTTGCTTCAGTAGGGAGAATGAAATGCTTTATGTGTCTGCAAAGCTAAGTGCAGACTGATGGTAAATTTTATTTAAAAAAATACTTAGAGGTGTACTAATTCTTCCAAATTAGCATTTAACTAAAGAAATTGGGTCTAAATAGGGAATTTATCTTAAAACTACATATTGGGAACTACTTAGCTGGAAGAGCCTGTTGTTTTTTTTTAAATGACTTTTATGGGCTTATAGTCAGGTGTAGAATCATCAGGCCAAACAAAATAAATACAAAATCAATTTCAACTGTAAATTCTGCCAGCACTCTATTCTCAATAATACTCAGTACTACAGGAAGCCTGAGATATTTCACTAAGCATCAGTAAAAGAGATAAGCCCCAGGCTTTATTTTCAAGAAACTAATCATATTACATAAGATATGAAAATATAAATAATATATTCTAAGAGTCTTAAGTTTCAAATGGAGGCATAGTAAAATGTAAAGAGAAGACTTCAGAAATTCACTACACTTCAGAAGTTTTAAGCTAACTTTAAATATTAAAAGCAGATATACACTTACAATCATAGCTACTTAAGAGGCTGAGATCTGAGGATCAGGGTTCTAAGCCAGCTTGGGTGGGAAAGCCTGTGAGACTTATCTCCAATTAACTAGGAAAAAGCCAAAAGTGGAAGTGTGGCTCAAGTTGTAGAGAGCCAGTCTTGAGCAAAAAAAAAAAAAAAAAAAAAAAACTAATAGAGAGGGCTCTGGCTCTGAATTCAAGCACCAGTACTGCACACACACACACACTATACACACACACTATACACTGAATCTGACAGCCAGGTCAATACAATAACAGTTGTGTCCTCCTTCATGCTTTTGGATCCAAGAAGTTTTCTTATCACCTCATAAACAGTGATTAGAGATCCTCGAGGTCAGTGAGATCCACAGCCACTTTCAAGAACAGAATGTCATCTTTAATGTAGGTGTTCTTGACATTCTCCAAAGTGGAGTGAGCCACGAAGCGGGGACAACCAGATGCAATGTTCATCTCTCCATCAGGCCTTTTAAAGCTGCTGCTATTGGGGTCAGCTTTGAAGGTCTCCATAATGTGGTTCTTTTTGCCACTCTGGTCCAATAGCATTAGGGTCACTCGCTGCCTGAATGGCCACTGTAATAATGAGTCAAACTCTCCTCGCATCACCACAAAGTACAGGGACAGGTGCGTCCCCTTCCCGGACCCATCTCCATTTAGATAGGCTCTAGCACAGAGCCGGTAGCCACAGCGGCTGGTGTAGAAGGGCTGACTGAAGATGGACACTGTGTGCCCGTCCACTGCCTCCTTCTTCTTCAGCTTGTAATCTGTCACCTTCCAAATGAGCTTCCCATTATAGCAGGCACCCTCCAGCAGTTTAAATCGTTCTTCGTTTTTATTCAGCTGTGCTTTATGAATATTAATGTGTGCATCATGCTTATTTGTCTCCCCTTCTAAAACAACTGCAAAGGAAAAACCAAAATGAGCCTAAAACATGGGCCTAATAAGTTGTATTTGAATGTTGTCCTAACCTGAAGAGAACCGATAAAATCCTGGCATCTGAAAGATGAGTTGAATTCAGTGTTCATGGGTGGACCTCTTATATGAACTCAGTGATAATCACATTCTTGGTAAACTGGTGCCAAGAAAACTGGAATATGTGCTCTAAAACCAGAGCTTGCCACAGTTCAAGAAATCACTGAATGTTTGCCTAGTATGAGCCCACACCATTCTAAATAGAAGACTTTTTAAATAGCCAGTTCCTCTTTTATTTTTCCACACCTAAAACAGTCATTCTCCTCACATCTCTTCCTTAGATGCTCATTTTCCACTCCTTAAAAATCAGCACTCCACTTCCTGTTCTTGGGATTTCCTGGCTTCTGTTTCCTGTGTGTTTACACCCCAATTTAGGGCCTCCCTGGTATTTCCTTGAGCAGCCAGAATCTCCTTTCTTTTTCACAAATTCAGCCACTGCTTTTCTTGGAGAGATGTGACTGGCAAGGCATTTGCTCATTCATGAACACATGAAGACGAACATGTTACTGAAAGAAGTAAAATATGAGACATACCTAATCTTTGATCATTGGTTTCCAGCAGAGTGATTTTCTGTTTCACTGTATCAACAGCTTCTACCAAAGGCTTCAGGTCAAATTTATTGTGTTGCTGGTTAACCATTTGCAGTAACTGATGTACTTGAGCTTCTATCCAAGCAGACTTGTCAATATGACTGGCAAGAACCTTCCAGAACAAAATGGATCATATAAAAATATAGATAATATGTAGTAATTCATTGAGATTAGTTTTTTCAGCTTACACACTTTACAGTTAATTAATGAAATGAAAAATACTAGTGCAGAAGAGAAAACTCAGTAAGGGCTGTTGAAACAAGCCCCTCATTATTGTTCTCCTCCACTCCTATCCCAACTCTTTGATGTTTCCCTATGTTATTTGACTACTCCTTAAAGTTCTCTGTTCTTGGTTCCCTAACTCACCTTGATATATCTGTTCTCTTGTTTCTTCTCTCATCTTACCATTTGCTTCCTGTTCTGCTAAAAGGCAAAGTGAGCTAGAACAGGCCACTTATTTTGGCCTGAGCACTGCAGGTGAAATAGAAAGCCTGGAGTAGGCCTGTGTATCCAACTGCTCTCTTAGGTAAACGAGATTAAATAAAACTATCTTCTTCTGAGTGACTTAATTCTAATGCCATACTAGAGAAAAGGTCAGAATTGGAGTATTAAATGATGCATTCCTTTTTTCAGGACACACATACCTATGCATGTATGTATAGATGTACATACATCTCTATATACATGTATAATATGTGTATATGTGTATTGCATATATATGTATACATAAAATATGTGACTAAGTATGGAAATTCTGTGGTCCAGATTTTCTGGGATAATCCAACTTTCAAATTTCAATAAAATTTCTTTATAATCATGATAGACATTTACTCATTAGGAATCCACTTATGATTTAGAAAGTAACTTCTTTGGCTATATTTTAGTGATGTTTATTTCTCATATGGGGGGAATGAAGGAAAGGGTGGCATTGAATGACGGAAGGGGTGACACTGATCCAGATGCATTGTTCTCATGAAATTGAAACCTCTTTGTACAATTACTTAAATAAAAAAGTAAAAAAGAAAATCAAGCATTCTCTTCCTAAGAGAATCAATGGTTTTGTTTTGCTATCTACAAAATGCAGAGCAGACTTCAATGTATCTGAAACAGTAATATTTAACCAATATTAATTGAAACTTGAATTGCCATAAACTTTATGGAAGTATTGTATAATTATTAAATAATTTACTGATATTGCTAAGTGTACTGGGTAATACAAGAGATGATCTTTTTTTTTTTTTGTAAGCTTGAACTCTAGGCCTGGGTGCTGTCCCTGAGCTCTTCAGCTCAAGGTGAGCGCTCTTCCACTGAAGCAACAGCTCCACTTCTGGTTTTCTGGTGGTTAATTGGAGTTAAGAGTCTCACGGACTTTCCTGCTCAGGCTGGCTTTGAACCATGATTCTCAGATCTCAGCCTCCTGAGTAGCTAGGATCACAGGCATCAGCCACCAGCACCAGGCAAGATGATCTTTATTCTCAGGAAATATATACTGATATATCAGAGGTAAAAGGCCATAATATATTCAGTAACTTGGAAAGAACATACAACATTCCTCTCTCTCTTTCTCTCTTTCTGTCTCTCTCTCACACATCTCCCTTTTTTCAAGGGGTGGAGGGAAGGAGAGGGGAAGGGCACCAGTACTATAGTAAATGGGATAAAATACTGACAATGAGAATATAGGCAGGGGTTTCTTTGTAGTTTTTCTGTATCTTTGAAAAAGTTTCCATTTGAAAAATTAAAAGAAAGACTGTCTCACCTGGATGTTTGAGAGGAAGCTTCCATTTTTGCCAAATAACTGTGCAAACTGCTTGAACTCTTTTTCAAATTTCTCCACAGTGTCTGCTAGCTGCTGGATCTTATGTTCTTTTTGCTCAAGGCTCTTATATAAAGCAGAAATCTAATAACAAGAATGTTAATGAGGAAAATGAGGTCACTGAAATGCATGCATGTAATTTAAAATAGTGTTTGCATGTCAGAACGTGGTCCTATGGGAAAAAATGCATATATATTTCTAGGAAGATATCTGCAAGTACTTCCAAACACAATAGAGCCTCAGAATTTTTCATCAGCCTGTGCTGTCCCTAACAAACACACTGTGAAGGGTCATCTAATGACAGTGACATCACTTGACTATACTAGTTCACTTCATCCATTCAGTGTGTGCTTATTATGCAGAAAGAGTGCTGATAGCCTCCATGTTAGATGTTATGTAATAATGGCTAAAATTTGCTGAATTTCTATGCTACCCTTATATATCCATTAGGTCTTTTACTCTTCAAAAACCCATTTTACAATGAGGAAACAGAGGCACTGGTGGCTTGAAACTGTAATCCAAACTACTTAGGAGCCTGAGAGCTGTTGGAATCTTATAAGAGGCACCTCACTTTTCTTCCCCAGGCTGGCTTCAAACCATGATCCTGAGACCTCCTGAGTAGCTTGGATTACAGTTGTGAGCCACCAGTGCTTGACTTCTAACACTTAACTTTTAATATGAAATCAGGTACCATAAAATAATCTGCAATAATAAAATTCAACACCTCTGAAGATGAATAGGTTTCTGATTTATGTGGACATGAAAACTCTGATCTTCTGAGATGTTCTAACAAAATAGTTGATTCTCATAATATTCATCAGCATCAGCATTTGAGGTCTACAGTGAATGTTCAGGCATTATGAACATTGCATCGGAAGATACAATTTCACTTGATAATCACAGATTAGTGAAATAAGTATGTATGGTATGTATGTATGTATGTATAAGTAGTCATTTTTCAAGTTGTAAAGCTTCTCTAAGACAGTTTAGAACAAGATTTATAAAATCTACATTGCCCCCAATAGATAATTGACTAATATTTTATGGTCACACCCATTTAAAAGTATCAAGCACCTGCTAGGTGCCAGATAGTGATGACAGAAGAGCATGTGGACAGGTTGCAGAGGCAATATGAATCAGAGGAGAGTCAGAATCAGAGGAATGGGCTTGATACTGAACTCTGCCACTTTAAATTACAAATACATTAACATTACTCTGAGCTTAGTTACTTCATCTGTTAAGTGAGAAGCTGGAAATATTTCAAAAACTCCTTCTAATGTTTATGTCTAATAATCCTATTAAGCCTGCCTAGCCACATAGTAGAAAAACATCTATTTCTAGTCGACTTACACTGCAACAGAGAGGGAGTAAAACCACTAACACAGAGCAGACCAACCATTCCATGGCTCCTCATCATATGTGGTTCCTTGAAGGCTTACCTGCCCTTCTAACTGGAAGTTCTTTTCCAAAACCAGAAGCATGTGGTCCCGCAAGGCTGACTGTTCATGTTCTTGCAGATTCCCCCGTTTATCCTCCAGTACAGAGAGAAAGAGGTCTAGTTATTGAGAAGGGGAGGCAGTGGGATATGCAGCTAATGCAGAAGCATAGTAACTCTGCTGACTTTATGACTTTAAACATGCAACCATTCTAGGTGAGTGGCAGGAAAAAAAATGACTCTACCTGGATCCTTTTCCAGCTTTAAGATTCTACAGTACCCAGATGGAATCCTAGGTTCTCTCCGTATCAAGCTAGAACTGGAAATAATTACTTGGTGGGGGAGGGCCGGTGAGACTGGCACTTGAACTCAGTACCTGATGTTTCATTCATTGGCTAGTACTCTACCAATTGAATCGTGCCTCCAACCCCAGAAATAATTATTGTGATGATTAATTTCATGTGTCAACCAATTAGGCTGTGGTACCTAGTTGTTTGGTCACAATTAATCTAGATACTGCTGTGGAGCTATTTTATAGTTGTGATTAAACAATTATATCTCAAGAGGATTACCCAACCAAAATGTGGGTGGGCCTTGTAGAAGGCTTTAAGAGCAAAAACTAAAGTTTCCTGGAAAAGACTGAAACTAGAAACTGAAAACTGAAACATAGAAAGTCCTTTCTGCTTTCCAGCTTGCTGGCCAGCCTTGCAGATGTTGTACTTGCCAATAACTTGCTAATGATCCAATCTCTTAGACTAAATATCCCTATATATCTACTATATGTATGCATAATCTAATATATATCACATGTATTGGTTTTGTTTCTCTGGAGAACCTTGGTACCTTGATTAATAGAATTATTGTCTTAAAAGTCCTTCTATATCCTGAATGGAATCCAAGTAAAATAAACTAGCCAAGTGACTTACACAATGGAATATCAAGGCAGATACAAAAAAGCACCCCCTACCTTTACAATACAGCCATAGTGTTTAAAAGGGCAATCTTGTTCAGCCTCAGGACACACTGCAAGGTGTTCATTCACCTACAAAATGGACAGCTTCAAGCTATAGAAATTCATCACTGACTCTCCAGCTGCCTGGTCTCAGTGCAGCAAGTGGGAAGCCAAGGGTGTAGGAGGAGGGGAGGGAACCCAGCAAGGATGGGAAACCAGGGATGAATGCTGAGAAGTTTGTAGAGAAAGGGGAAGGAAAGACAAGAGACACAGTTATTGTGGAGATTAATTTAAACCTGAGGACTTTGCATATGGATTTGATCTAACACATCATAACCACTGCCTGAAGTTTATCTTGTGAAAAATCTTTGGAGATGATTATTTACAGTTACCTTGGTTCTGGGAATAATCTGCAAACACTTGTTGGGACAAATAACTGGGTACTCCGGACACAAGTTTTCCAGGTGATTCTGAAATAGACAAAGTGGAATGAAAGGAAGCAGAGGCTCTCTTCAGGGGACAGTGATCCTACATAGGTCTCTGGAGTTATAAGTCAGACAGCTTGCCTTCCATAGGCCTCCTTCTAAAAAGGATTAAAGATGTCTGCTTTCTTGGTATAAAGGAAATCAATTAAAAAGTTAATATTCCAGGGCTGGGAATGTGGCTTAGTGGTACAGTGCTTGTGCTTGACTAGCATGCATGAAGCCCTGGGTTCAATTCCCCAGTACCACGTAAACAGAAAAAGCCAGAGGGGGCACTGCGGCTAAAGTGGTAGAGTGCTAGCTTTGAACAAAAGAAACTCAGGAACAGAGACCAGGCCCTGAGTTCAAGCCCCCAGGACTGGCTGGGGGTGGGGCGAAGTTAATATTCCAGTTATTCTGAAAGAAGGTCAAAGAGTACTGAACTGGAGGCAGGCAGTAGATGAGGAATTATCAGAGTGGCTCCTGTACAAGGTGCCTGTGGTCTCCTTCCTGGCTCACCCCACCTCTCTAGGTAGATTACAGAACCTGGAGGGAGGGCAGCAATTGCCTTTCCCTCCCAGGGGCCCAGGCCTCTCACCACTCCCTCCACATTCACACACACAGCAGGTGCTCAAATGCTACTTACTTATTGTCTGTCCTGGGCTTGAACTCTGGGCCTGGACACTGTCCCTAACGCATTTGTGCTCAAGGCTAGTGCTCTACCACTGGAGCTATAGCTTCACTTCTGGCTTTTTTGGTACTTTTAGTGGAGATAAGAGTCTCATGGACTGGCTGGGCTGGCTTCAAACCATGATCCTCAGATCTCAGCTTCCTGAGTAGCTAGGATTACAGGCATGAGCCACTGTTACTCAGCACTTTCTTTTTTTCTAGTGCCAGGATTTAAACTCAAGAGTTTTGAGCTCTTGCTCAGCTTTCTTCTGGCACTCTACTACTTCAGCCATATCACCAGACTGGCTTTTTGCTGGTTATTTGGAAATTGAGTCTTGCAGACTTTGCTATCAAGCTGTGATCCCCCAGATCTCAGCAGATCTCCTGAGTAGTTAGAATTACAGGCTTGAGACACTAGTGCCCAACTCAAATGCTATTTTTGTTACTGATACATGAACAGAGCTCTGCTACGAAAAAAATAGCTTTGAGCACCTCATGGAGCTTCTCGGCTAAACTTCTTTAGGCCTGATTCCATACACAAGGAAGCACAGACTGTGCTTCAGGCACCCCACTGATTCACGCTGCAGATGAGCCCCATAAAGACAGTGATTCTTTATACCTGCAGATTGATTGTGACCACGTTCTTTTTGCAATGAAGACATTTTTCCTCTCTAAACTGACAGTGTGCGCTCAAGTGCTCTTTCAGATCTTTTCGGAGCAGGACTTCCCAGCAGTTCTCATTGGAACAGGACACAGGCTGAAATGAGCAGTGCTGGAGATGATCCTGCAATAGACAACAGGCCAGTGGGGCCGGCTCATGGTGAGCAGCCTGCAAGTCCTATCAAAGGCCAGACCACAGGAGCCTCAGCAGGACAGAGAGGCTGGCACAGGCAGGGCAGGCCGGACAGTCTCTTCCAGCTGTCCCTTCCAGCTATTACTGCTTCTGCTGGGGGATGGGGGGGAAGAGGGGGGAGGGAGGGCAGCTTGGATGGCAGTATGGTGGAAAGGAGGAGGAAAAGGGAAGATGGGAAGGGGTTTTAGATGATCCAGTGACCCTCTCATAGTCACAGACCAGTTCTGGAGTATCTCTTTGAGGCTTGCCAATTTGTTCTTTAGTTCATTGAAGGTATTTTGTTTATTTTCCCATCTGTTTTTTTTTTTTTTTTTTTGCATCTCACTGTATGGCCCAGGCTGGCTTTGAACTCATGATCCTCCTACCTCTGCCTTCCCAAGACATGGATTATAGATACCTAGTATTAATATAAATGTCAGACCTTTTTTTGTGATACTGGGGGTTGAACTCAGGATCCTGCACTTTGCTAGCCAAGCAGTATAATACCTGTGCCATGCCAGCGATATTTTTGTTTCTTTTCTGTTTCATGTTAGTACTGGGGCTTGAACTCAGGGCCTAGATGCTGTCCCTTAGTCTTTTTTGTTCAAGGTTGGCCTTCGACCACTTGAGCCACAGCACCATTTCCAGCTTTTTAGTGGTTAACTGGAGATAAGAATTTCATGGACTTTCATGCCTGGGCTGGATTTGAACCATGAATCTCAGATCTCATACTCCTGAGTAGCTAGGACTAGAAGCATGAGCATGAGCAGTTGCTGCATTTTTGTTTCTTTTGTGCACTCTCCATTCCCACTCCCAGCTCCTTGGACTGGCCTCTGCACAGCAGATATGTAAGTGATGGGGCAGGGGAGAAGAAGAAAGAAGAGGGTATGTCCTGAGTCAATAAAGGAAGGGAGTTTCAGTGAGCTGCTCCCTGCAGATCCTTCTAAGCAGAGTCGGTACCCTAAAGCCCATAGGCTGGATGTGGCCTGCTCCTTATCGTTGTAAATCTCAGTTTGTCTAATGCCTCTGTGCTTCCCTGCAATGTGGCAAGGCTCAGTCATTGTGACAGAGGCTGTATAGCCTGCCAAGTCTAAAATATTTACTATTTGGCTCCTAACAGAAGCAACTTGAAGCTCCTCTGAAGGGAGAGAGAGAATAGCTTCATCAGCATGATAAAGATTTTAGCAATTGTTTCCTAAGAAACAAATGGCAATAACAATTAAAACTAGACTCTCCAAAATGCACTGCTGTTACCCCTCGCCCCAACAGTGAACATCCACCACAAGGGCTGTATACCTCACTACACAAGGGGTGGGGTTATGAATTGGGAATACAGAGGAAACCAGTGGAAAGTGCCGGTTCTCCAGAAGTCTGTGGTCCCTTCACTACAAATGGGCTTCTATTTGCATCCCACTTCCTTTGCAGGCTTTGTCACACCAGAGCTGGAAAAGTGGCCTTGCTATAGGACCTGTCACTCAAAGCTTAGGGCAAAGGATTGTCTCGCTTTGACGGCAAAATCCTGCCAGCCTCCAAAGCATTCCCTGGGCCAATAAGGAAGTCATTTACCGTTTTTTTACACCTCAGGGCCTAGGGGCTTTGGAGGCTGGGTGGTGGTTGGAGAAACTACTGACTCATTCCAAATACGTGTTCAGACTACGTGGGTGGGAGGGGAAATTTCAGCAGCCTTGAAGCAATTCTGTGGAAGCTAAAGATGCCTGAGTCTTAGTCACTGTCCTGTGATCACAACTGATATGGACCTTCCAGGCAGGGTGACATTAATAGCTTTCTATTAACAGCCTTCTCCAGATGGATGGAAAAGCAGCTTGGACAGTTTCATTTCACAGGAACTCAACTCCTCGTCACCTGTGCTTCCACACCTGGCCGTCTACATTTCATCTCAGTGCTTCCTGGTCTGGGTGCCCTGCCTTGGAGCCTACCCGCAGGCCTTCACAGCACCAGGAGCTGGGGAGTATGCACTTCCTGTGCTCCCGCCACAGGGTTCCAAAATGCTTCACAGTTTCCCCAAATGGTACATCCTTGCTTGAGCTTTCCTTTGGCCTGGCATACCCCCCTTTTTTGGCTTAATGATCCCTAACCCACAATACAGGATTGTAAGCATATATAACATGTCCTCCCTACACTCCAGGGAGAATGAACCCCTTCATTTAAGGTACACCTTGGCATGATACTGGGGCTCAATGAGTTGCTGGCCTGGGAAAGCACTGAGAACAACTCTCCCTGCTCATCCAGGAACTGTGCCATCAGAGTTCAGTGCATGCCACTAGAAGGATAGTGGTTATAAGTAATACCAACCTGGTATCGTCCCAAAATAACCTTGGCATTACATCCAGGCGCATTTTTGCAATGCACATATAAATTGAGGACCTCCCTTTTACAGCAGTTGTCTTTAAACACCTAAAAGATAAACATAACAGGTCTTATATTGAAAACAATGAAAATGAAGATGTTATTAGTTTGGTCTTTACACATCTCAAAAGTCAGATGGAAACTTCCAAATGCTGGTTGGAATGGAAATATCACACCACCACTTTTCAAGAAAAGATTGACTCAGCTAGGGCCAGTGGTTTATGCTATAATCCTAGCTACTCATGAAGCTTAGATCTGGGGATCACAGTCCAAAGCTAGCCTAGGTAGACAAATCCATTATCTTCTTATCTCCAATTAAACACCAAAAAAGTCAGAAGTGAAGCTGTGGCTCAAGTGGTAGAGTGCTAGTCTTGAGCAAACAAGCCAAGCAAGAGCACAAGGACCTGAGTTCAAGCCCCAGTACTGGCACACAAGGAAAGGGAAAGGGAAAGGGAAAGAGAAAGGGAAAGGAAAAGATTATTTCAGACACATACTTTCCACCAGACAGAAAACAATGCTCAAGGGAGCAGGCTATAGCGACAATAATCTCAGATGAACTTGGACTGTCAAAAGTCAGAAGAGGTGGGGGGCTGTGACCAAGGGCTGTGATTTCAGCTTCCCATCTCATAGTAAATCATCAGATCATCAGCGAAGTTGTGCCAACTTTTTTTTTTTCAACACAAACCAGAGGCTGGCAAGTCTTGTAAAGGCTCAGAGAGTAAATATCCTCAGCTTTGCAAGCCACATCACAACCATCTCTGTAATCACATTTCAGTTCTGACATATACAATACAAAAGTGAATGAGCACAACTGTGTTCCAGTAAAACATTACTGATATACAATGAAATTTGAATTTCGAATTACTTTCATAAATTATGAAACATTCTTTTTTTGAAACATTCTTATTTTTAAAAATATGTCCCTAAACATTTTTAATACAAGAAGTTGAAAAAAAAGTTTGTTTCTTTGTACATCCTTCTTTTGTCTCCTTTCAACTACTTAAGAATGTGAAAGCAGGTGGCAGGTGGGATTTGCCCCAAGGCTTGTAGTATGCCAACTCCAGACCGTTATAGTAAGCACAGTACAGACTTGTGGGAGGCATTTGCAAAATACATCATAAAGAGTATAGAGAAGGATGTGGGCACTGGTAGCTCATGCCTATAATCCTAGCTACTCAGGAGACTGAGATCCAGAGGATCTGTAGCCTCAACATCTAATTAAACCTGGGACACTGGCATCTTCTCTATCATCCAAATCAAAACACTGATCTTACCTCCTGAGATTTGATAATCTCCTTATCTACAGGACAGATTGGTACTGTGTTTAACTCTCTGGAGGGAAGAATAAAAATAGAGCCAAGTTAGGTATTTAATCTGAACAGTTCTTTTAAGAATAGCCTAGCAACCCAGCCATGCTTTATCCCTGAGCAGACCTGTCCTTGTGTGCATGTACTGTTTCTTCTGCCTTTGGTCACCATTTCCTCAGTCTTTCAGTCTGCCTAGAAACTCCCATTCGTCTTTTAGGATCTGACAGAAAATAGTTATGGAGTCCCTCTGTCCTTTGCTGACTGTATTGTGCCATAACCTGTCTCTTGCCTTAGACTGAGATGTTCTCGAAGGCAAACATCAGGTCTTGTTCTACACTGTATTTTGATGGAGCTCATTTGAGCAAAGTGCCATCGGTGCTAAATGTACAAACATGAATAAATGTGAATGTGAGGCAATAACCATTTATAAAGACTGGTATGACTGCCTTAAAGGAGCCCCCAGCATCTGCTTCCATGTCTCTCCTGGTCTCCTCCCTCAAAATGGCATGCCCTACATTGATAGAGTTTGAAACTTGGGTGTCTCCCAAAGGCCCATAGGTTAAAAGACTTGGTCCCCAAGGTGAAAATTGGTGGGAGTGACCTTTCAAAGGCAAAGCCCAGTGGTCATTGGTGGAACTGTGGAACTGTTCTCTGGCTGATGAGGTGAGTGCTTTTTGCTCTATTACACGCTCCCTTATCACCAGTCAAAACAATGGGGCCAACCCATCATGACCTGCAACCTCCGAACAAGCCTTTTCTCTTTGTAAATTAATTACCTCAAGTATTTCATCACAGTGATAAAGATGCTGGCTCACAGGTTTTTGCGGATGCCCAGGAGTGAGTGCATCTTTGGCATTTAGGTCCCTTGAAGGTGTGATAGTCTCCCTACCCCAAGGCAAAGTACAGCTAAGGCAATACAGCAAGCACAGATGCCACGAGATACAAGCCCCTCCTGACAGCTGCCTTCCACTACACTGTGTATGTAGATCTGTAAGAAAGGTACTGTGTAAATTTTAAGAGACGATCGATATCCATAAATGAATGACCAAAACCAAAGAGTATTCTTCAGGACCTCACAGGAGAGCTCCTCCTAGCTGTGGTTCTGTGGCTAACCACAGCAATTTCCTAAACCATGACTACACTTGAGCGGCCACAGTTGGCTCTCAGATACTGGGAACCCTTGTCTGGTTCTGGCCCTCTATGGCTGGACCCATAGGCTCTGCTCACTTACCTCAGGGACAGGATGCAAGGCTGGCAGAATCGGTGCCCACAGCCTGTCTGGTGGGGGTTGTAAAGCACTGAGCGGCAGAAGGCACACTTGTAGCGCTCTTCCAATTCCTCCACAAAGTGGTACTCTGTGTTAGGCTCAAAGTCCAAGGAAATGGAGTTACTGGAATTTTGGCGAATAAAACCACAGGGGACTCCTCCTTGCTCCTCCAAATAAGCCATTCTGGGGAGGAAAATTAAGTGTGAAAACACCCAAACTGCAGCAATCAAGTGTTCATTACCTATTTCATTATTATGACCTACATGGTCATTCTATGACTTTTGAGTAGCAATAGCAAACTTCCTGCCACTAGAGGATCTGGCAAAGGAAAGGTGACTGCTCAGGTGTAAGGAGCTCTATTAGACTCAGATCTTGGTTGGGTCTTTGTCCATCGACTATTTACAGGATGTTAAATTATCCTGATAGTTCAGCCACATGCTTGGGTTAAACACAGTCAGGTGTTAATGACATTATAATCAAACTGTTACAGCTTTTGGATTTTTCTTCCAAAATCGAGAACTGAAACAAATATTTGTTAAACTTCTTCAGAAGTCTTGCAGACTCAAATGAATTTCTTGCCATCAATCCCAGTGTCTTATCTCTCCCTCTCTTCTGCTCTGCCTACCATTGGGAAGGACTGAATGTTTATTTCCTGCTCCCAGCTCTGTTAAATTCATAGGTTGAAATCCTAACCCACAAGGTGATGTTGTTAGTATGTGTGGTTTAGGGAGGTATTGGGCCATGTGGATAGAGTCCTTATAAAAGAAGCCAAAAGTTCCCTCTTACTGCCAGGGGATGATACAGAAAAAAAAAAATCTACCACCTGTAATAGTGCACCTCACCAGAAATGACCATGATGGCACCATGATCTCCACTTCCAGACTCTAGAAATGTGAGAAATAACTTTTTTTTTTTTGGTCATAGGGCTTGAACTCTGGGCTGGTGGTGGGGTGAGGGAGGTGGCTGACTTCAGCTCTTCATCTCAAGGCAAGTGCTCTACTGCTTGAGCCACAGCACCACCTTCAGTTTTCTGGTGGTTAATTGGAGATAAGGGTCTCACGGACTTTCCTTCCCAGGCTGGCTTTGAACCGTGATCCTCAGATCTCCCGCCTTAGTAGCTAGGATTACAGGTGTGAGTCACCAGCACCCAACATGAGAAAATAAATTTCTATTGCTTATAAACCACCTACTCTATGAGATTGTATCTAAAGTATCCCAAATTAATATAAACACCAGGTTTTTAAAGGATGTTGTCTTAGTATGTTTGTGTTGTTAAAACAAAATAGCACAGACCAGGTAGTTTATAAAGAGCAGAAATGTATTTCTTACAGTTTTGGAAGTGGGAAGTCCAAGGTCAAGTCACCCAGGAAGCTTAATGTCAGGTGAGGTTTGTTCTGTTTCCAAGATGGTGTCTTATAGTTGTATCCTCACATATCAGAAGAGAAGGGCATGTGGCCTAGCTAGTTTCCTCCATCCCTGTAAGAAGGTTGCTAATCCCATCCATGAGATCTCTTCCTTGTGACTTCATCACTACTGAGGACCCAAAGACACAGAATAGCCAAGACAACACTGAAGGAAAAGAACAGTGAAAGGCTGGTACCACTCAAATTCAAAAGTAATTATAAAGCCACAGTAATCAGCATTGAAAGCATCAACAGTGAAAGAATAGACAAACAGATGGATAAAACAGAATAGAGAAGCCAGAAGTGGACTTACATAAATACAGTTAAGTGACCTGTGGCAAAATGGCATGGGTAGTACTGTGCTCTTTAAGATATTCTCTCTTAGTAACAAATGGAAACTTAGCATCTAGTAAAACAGCAAAATGTCTGTATACAAGATAAACAAAAATCATCTGTAGAGACAGATGCTTGAATATTGTACTTACCTATCACAGATGTGGTATGTATAAGATTTATATAACATTATACATTGATTGTCACAAAACAAAGCACCTCAAAATTCACTTTCCATTTTTTACTGTTATTATAAAGATGGTGTAGAGAGAGGTGAAAGTTACATAAGTCAGATCAGGGGTACATTTCTTTTTGGACAGTGTCACCCCCTCCATCCCACTCCCAGTTCATTTTCAAGATAGTGTCTAGTGAGTACCACTGCTGCATCTGCTTACCCTTTTCCCCTTCATTTCTGTATCTTTTTACCACCCCAAAGACAGATAAACAAGACAAGAAAACAAAAACAGCAACAAAGGAAAAAAAACTCGTTTCCATTACCTACAGTTCATTTCAATAAATGTTATTTTAGATGATCAGATCCCCTAGGCATTATGTCTTTGTGTTCCTCTCCTAAGAATATCATTGCTTGGTCTCACTGTGTGTGAATGCCTTAGAGTCCTATATAATGTGTCACATTCCAGTGTATTTTCAATCTAGCTTCTGCATATGAGAGAAAAATGTACTGTTTGTCTTTCTGATCTTGGCTTACCTCACTTAACATGATTTGTTCTAGGTCAATCCATTTCCCTGCAGATGGCATAATCTGATCCTTTCTAATGACTGTGTAAAATTCCATTGTGTATAGGTACCAAATTTTTTTGATCCTCTGATCTATTGCTACTGCATTTAGGCTGTTTCTATAATTTAGCTATTGTGAATAGTGCAGCAATGAACAAGGATGTGCAAGTGTCTTTACAGTATCCTGGCTCATGATGATCTGGGTAGATGCCCAGGAGTGGTAAGGAAGATCTATGTTTAGTTTTTTGAGGGACCTCTAGACTGCTGTCCAGAGTGGTTACACTAATATATATTCCAACAGTGCATTAGGATTCCTTTATCCACACATCCCTGCCAACATTAGTTGTTGTTTGAATTCATGATGTTGGGGTGAGATGAAATCTCAGAGTTTTGATTTGCGTTTCCTTTATGGCCAAAGATGGCGAGCATTTCCTCCTGTGTTTCTTTGCTATTTTTAACTCTTCTTCTGAGAAGTGTCTCCTTACTTCCCTTGCCCATTTAGTGATTGGTTTGTTAGCTTTGTAGGGGTTAGTTTCTTGAGATCCTTGTATATTTTGGATATTAGGCCTTTGATTTGAATTTCTTCTCTTCATCAGTTTAGCTAGTGGTCTGTCCATTTCATTTTTTTCCCCCAAAGAATCAGCTTTTTTTTTTTCATTGATTTTATAGTTTTCTTAACTCCCTATTTCATTGGTTTCTGCCCTTATCTTTACTATCTCTCTCTGCCTGTTTTGGGATTTGTTTGTTCTTGTTTTTCTAGCAGTTGTATTATGAGGTTATTTACTTGTGCCGTTTCTGTTTATGTACATACTTAGAGCTATGAACTTTCTTCTCAACGCTGCTTTTGCAGAATCCCAGAGATCATGGTATGATGTGTTTTCATTCTCATTGAATTGTAAGAAATTTCTGATTCCTTGCTTTGATTCTTTAGTGACCCACATGTTGTTTAGCAGTGTACTGTTCTGTCTTCTTGTGTTTGAGTGTTTTCTGTGTTATATTTTGTTGTTGAGAACTAGTTTAATTCCATTATGATCAGATAGGATGCAAGGAGTTAGTTACCTCAATATCTTTGTTTTTACACAGGCTTTCGTGTCCCAGAATATGGTCCATTTGAGGCTGCTGAGAGGAATATGAATTGTGTGATTTTTGGGTGAAATACTCTGTACATGACCATGAAGTCCATTTGGGTTATGGTGGCATTTAATTCAGAAACATCTTTGCTGATCTTTTGCTTGCTTAGTTGACCTGTCCTTTGGTGATAGTGGAGTGTTAAAGTTTCCCACTATTATTGTGTTGGGGTCTATCATGTTCAGTAAGTCTAACAGTGCTTGTTTAATGTATTTAGGTGCTCCATTGTTTGGTGCGTAAGTATTAACCATTTTGATTTCCTCTTTGAGGATCATTCCCTTTGAGGGTAACTTTTTTGGTTCCAGTTAGGGATAGGGTTAGGGAAGGGTAAGCTTTATGATAATACTGAGTTTTCCACTAATAAGTAGAAGCAAAATAAATGTCAAATTTAATAAAAACCACAGTGTTTTCCTTATATTTACTCTTCAGTGAAATTTGGTTACTGTTATGGTTAAGTTTCCATTTAGGTTTAGGTATAGGGTTAAGGTTACTTGTAAAGTAAATCTGAAACTTATTTTAAGATCTAGGAGTTAAGGAAAAGATAGGATCAATGGAAACCACAGTATTTTTCATAATATCAGGTTTTGAGGTCAATGGATATAATGGTTCATGTTAGGGAACAAGATAGCTTCAGAATTAGAGTCAGGGAATCTGTAGGATTTAGGGTAAACTGCAACTCATATCAAGAAAGACAACTGGAGTTTCAGGATGAATCAAAACTAGCGTTTTTTGTTAACTTTGGATTGGTCTATCATTGGGATCAATGTTATGGCTAGGGTTAGGGTTAGGGAAATAGAAAATTTAGTATCAAACTGAAAGTAAAATTTAGAACTAAATACTAAGTAAGAGTTAGGATGAATGTTGAAAGAGTATTATTATTAATATTAGGATTAAGGTACAATTGGGTTAGGGTTAGCCTCTGTGTTCCAGTTAGGATTAGGGTTGGGTTAGGAAAAGATTAAGACATTAGGTAAAACTGCAGGAAGGATGAGTTGAAACAAAGTTAGGCTGAATAAAAACTGGTGTATTTGTGTTGCTTTTAACATTCAAGGGTAATTAAGGTGAGGTTTACAGTTACTTTTCTAGTTAAGATTAGGGTTAAGATTATGGAAGTGTAAGCTTAAGGGTAAAACAGATTTCTATTAACAATTACAAGAAAAAAATTTAAATAAGATACAATATTTTCCTTACTTTTTTTATTTGGTGTTAATTAGGGTTAAAAGTAGAGTTGGTTTCCAGTTAGGTTTCAGAATGGGTTATGATTAGGAAATCGATTAAATTTTAGTACATCTTAAACTTTTCTTAGGATCTAGGAGTCCAGGAAAAGTTAGGATCAATGGAAACTACAGTATTTTTCATGATATCATGATCTAAGCAATGGATACAATGGTTCATGCTAGGGAACAAAAAGATTCAGAGTTAGAGTTAGGAAATCTGTAGGATTAGGACAAACTGCAACTAATTTCAAGAAGGACAACTGAAGTAGGATGAGTCAAAACGTGAGTATTTTTTGTTAATTTTAGGACTGGGCTGTGGTTAGGATTAAGGTTAGGGTTAGGGTTCTGGCTGAGGTTTGAGTTA